GACTCACGGCCCTGTATGGCTCAATACACCCACCTGCCTCAGCTGACAGCTGTGTGGGAAGCCTGTCTGCAGCTGTCTCTCCTCCCAGCTGCTGCCAGCCCCTCAGGCCACCAGGTGGCGGCCACCTCCAGTCCCTGTCTGATGTGCAGCAACTCCTTTTGGCCAGTCTACCCTGCTGCCCCCAGCCCTCTGCCTGCTCACTGGGAGGCTGCCCTGCCTCAGCTTCTAAATCCTGGCAGACCCACTGCATTCAGGTGACTCCTGATGCCCACCGGTAACTTCTGAGTCACGTGATGTCCCTCAGGGGTCTCCAACCAACAAGCCCCAAATGAGACTCAGCTCCATTGTCGACACCTGGGGCATCCTTACCACTGCTTTGGCCAAACCCTTCCCATTACCAAAACCCACCTGTGTTTCCTCTGGGACATCCCCAGAGCCCATCTACCCAGAATCCATCTCCCTACCTCCACTACTGCTCGCCTAACAGAAGCCTCTTGCATGGGCAGTGCCAGTGGCCTCCCAGTCTCCTCCATGCTCTTCCTACCCCAGGGCCTTTGCACATTCATATCCCAGGCTGAGAGTTCTCTCCTCTGTTATAGTTTGGATAAGTGTCCCCAAAGGCTTGTTTGCTAAATGCTTGGTCCCCAACCCATGGCCTCTTGAGAAGTGGTGGACCCTAAAAGGAGTGAGACTGGAGCAGGGTGTGGTGGTACAGGCCTGTAATCCCAGAACTCTGGGAGGCTGAGGCAGGAGGACTGCAAATTTGAACCCAGCCTGGGCAACTTAGCAAGGCCCTATCCCCAAATAAAAAATAGAGAGGGCTGGGGATGTAGCTCAGTGGTAAAGCACAGAGCACCACTGGGTTCTATCCACAGTTAAAAAAACATATATATGCCAGGGCCTGGCCGGAAGTCACACGGAGATGTGGCCTGAAGAGGACACTGGGGGCTTGGCCCCTCCCCTCCCACTCTTTGCCTCCTCAGTGCTTTTGTTGCAGTGACAGGAGGCTGAGGAACACACCTGCCCTCTACCCTTGCCTAGGAATCAGCTCGATGCATTCTCTTCCACTTTCCAGAATCACAGTAACATCATTTCCCCAGGGGACCTCTCCTGAGCCCCAGAACAACAGGTCTCAACTGGGGGGACTTTGCTCCCCAGGGAACAATGTCTGGAGTTTTTTCTTTTTTCTTTTTTTGAGACAGGGTCTCACTCTGTAGCCCAGTGTGGCCTGGAACTCACAGCAACCCTCCTGCCTCAGCCTCCTGAGCGCTGGGATTGCAGGTGTACACCACTATGACCAGCTTGAAAATAGACCTGTTTTCTTTCCAATGACCCCATCTGTGATCCTGTGTAAATAGCAACAGAAAACAGCCCAGCACAGGGCACCTTGAGAGTCAGTTCACAGGGACAAAAAGCAGAACTCTGGCTTCCAGGGGCTGAGGCTGGGGACAGTTTCAGCCGGGGAGGATGGAAAAATGGCAGCGACGGAGGGGGTGACAATCACAGAGCAAGGCGAATGTGCTGCCTGACAACCAACTATGCATTCAAAATGATTGAAGCGGTGACTTTCAAGACTGTGTTTTGCCACAATAACAAAAAGACAAAAACAAACCAGAACAAGAACCCCCACCTCTGCAGCCAGTTCGAGGCCAGCCTGGACCACACAGTGAGACCCTGTCTCTAAAAACAAAACAAAACAAAACAAAACAGTGACCAACTTCTAAGATTCATCAGCAACCCCACCTCTTGCCCCAGCCTCAGTGCCATTAAACATTGCAGCCAGAGGGGATTCTGGGGACAAAGTTAATAAACAGCTATCTTGGAGAAGTAAACAAAGTAAAACCAGGCAGTTTAGGTTGGCGCAGGCCTGGCCCTGCCTCCAGCATGGGCTGTGCTGGGGGGAGGCGGTGATTCACTTCCTGTGTCCCCGCCCAGGGCAAGGACAGAGAGGACAGTGGCTGAGAAGCTGGGTCCCCCAGCAGGACATAGAATCAGGCCAGAAGCCAGGCTCCGTGGTGCACACTTATAATCCCAGCCCTCAGGGAGGCTGAGGCAGGAGGATCTCAAATTTGAGCCAGCCTGGGCAACTTAGTGAGACCCTGTTCCAGCTCAGGGGTGCAGTGACCAACCCCAAGGCCAGCAGTAGGCTGGCAGTGCAGCTGTTTGGGACCCTGGGACCAAGGTCACCCGACCACCTGGGCCCAGGGCTGCCGTTCATCACAGGGAAGAGCATGTCATGACAGGGCGGAGGTGGATTCCGGCAAATGCCTTTTTGGGGTCCCCAGAGTCTGGAGCACACGGGAGCTCTGGCCTGGTGTCAGGGTCAGAAGGGACTGCGATTCTCCAAGGTGAAACCTGGCTCTGAGGCCCGCCGTGGCTGTGGCTTTGGGGACACTGTTTTCCCCCACAGGCCCCACTGCCAAGCTCCATAGCCCCCCGTTCTGTGCAGGCAGCCGTGTCTGTCTCCAGAGGGGGCAGATGCTGGGCACCCGAGCTCCGAGGAGGCCCCAGGGTTAGGGACAACTGACTCACGTGGTGTCGCAACGGCGTAGTTTTCCAGGCACTGTGGCTAAAGCCATCAGACTTGTAGGGATGGTGGTGATAGGCACAGGGCCAGGGGACAGCCATGTGTGACGCTGGGTCTCGGCCCAGGGCCTCTCTCGCTTCAGGAGAAGAGAGCCACAAACAACTCATTTCTCCAAGGGAAGTCTCATTCTGCCGTCTCATCTGCCTTGCCTCCTTCCTTCCTACTCAATGTTGCCCAAAACCTGGAAAACTCCTATACATCCTTCAGGGCCCACTTTCTGGAGTCCCTCCCACAACTCTGGGCTCGGCAAGTGCATTCCAACTCTGATTTGGAAAACCATGAGGGCAATGGAAAAAGAGGTTTAGGGTCAATGCTGGGGCGGGGCAAAAGGCCAAAGCTCCCCACAGATCTAATGCATGGGGACTGCAAGCAGGTGCTTATGCTGGGGCCCTGCAGCAGAGATGGGGCTGGCTTCGTACTAATGCGGGTCCAACTAGGAATGAGCATGGAGCTGCTTAGGGCCCCAGGTAGGGCGTCCCAGGAAGGACCCTCAGGTCCTGACTGAGGGAGGGTGGCTGCTAGGCAGGTGGGGCCTTCCACACTGTCCCTTGGCCTTGCCAGCAATGAGCAAGACACTGCCTGTCTCCACCCACAGGGCTCGAGGGTCCCCACATGGTAGGTTGCCCCCTGCTCCCAGCAGGCACGGAGCAGGGCCAAACCCTCCTTTCCTCCCCAAAGAGTCTGGGTTTGTATTGTTCTGGCGATGGAACACAGTCCTGTTCTTATTTTTCATTTTGAGATGGGGTCTCACTAAGTCACTAAGTTACCCAGGCTGGACTTGAACTGTGATCCTCCTGCCCCAGCCTCCCAGAGATCTGGGGTTACAGCTCCCTCCACCACACGCAGCCAGAGATCTTTTTTTTTTTTTTTTTTTTTGGTACCGGGGATCGAACTCGGGTCCTTGCGCTTGCAAAGCAGGCGGCGGAACCACTGGGCTGAATCCCCGGCCCCAGAGATCATCTTTAATCAAGGAAACTTCTTGCACCTTACTGGGTGCTCGGGGTGAGGGCTGCTCCCCAAGGGACAGCATGAGGCATGGGTGCTGCTAGGAGGACACAGAGCCCACGGGGGGTGCAGGGCTAGCACAGACACACACGCACACTCACACACTCACTCACACTCACAGGAATCCCAGCCGGACAAGCAGATTTTCCCCACTCCGTGGCTGCCCGGTGGGGGATAAGAACATGAGAAGACAGTGAAGAGTAACATTTCCAAATAAAATATGCGAGGATGGCTAAGAATCCCACAACGGGCCCAGTCCTCTGCCACCACCCCAGGCCAGGCCACCAGGGGCGTTTAACCCCGCACCACTGGAAGTGGGTTTAGGGGATGGAAAAGCCATCAGCTGTCTGGGACACCCAGGACTGTGGGTGCTCACTGGTTCAGAAAGTTGCGTGGTGGGGATCCCAGCACTCCCGAGGCTGAGGCAAGAGGATCACAAGTTCAAGGCCAGCCTGGGCTACATAGGAAAACGCTATCTTTAAGAAGAAAGTTGCTCCAAGCTGGGGAGGATGACAGGAGGTGTCTGGGGCAACTTCCTAGTTACTGGGGAGAGAACCTGGCTGTTGCAGTCAGTTGACGCCCGGCGGTAGAGCTCACTCCCTCTCTGTGGCCCCAGCCATAGCGTGGGGAGCCAGCGGGTGCTGCACGTTGCAACTCTGGTGCTCCACGCTGAGTTTCCCCGGCTTTCTACCCGCAGGGAGGGCCCTCTCCTCGGGCACAGGCAAGGGAAGAACCCAAGGCGAGGGCAGAGCCTGCCAGGCAGGGGTGCAGAAGCACGGTCCAGCCCTGAGGTTGCTGGTTAAGGTCTCCCCCGCCTGGTGACAAAGTCCAAGACTTCTCCCACTGGGCAACACCTGCTGCGCCCCTCACCCCCTGCTGCAGGGAGATGAGATCAGGGACTGACCAGCCGGTGCTCGCCGCCTTAGCTCCCCCGGGGTTCCGGGGTCCCCTGCCTCCCTCTGGTGGGAGGGCAGCTGCTGGATGAGACCCATCTGCGGGTGTCCACCCCGCGGTCCACCTGCTCCCCAGCCCGGGAACCCCGGGGGCCTCGGCGACGCGCAGCTCTGGTTGCGCTGAGTTGGGGCGCAGAGGACGAACTTGGGGCTCCCCATCGATGTCCCGGCTCCGGGAGTGGGATGGGGGGAGCTCAGATGTCAACTTCCCCTGAGAAATCGCCACTGGGCGCCTCTACCGAAGACTCACTGAAGGGGTGCAGGGTGGGGAAGGGATCCAGGTCCCTGGGGTCCGTGGGTCGGAAAGCGGGGAGCACGCGGCTTAGGGAGACCCCGACCCAAGCGCGCCGGAGCTCAGAGACAGTGGCGGAGGTGACTGCTCCGCCCACCCGGGGAAACTTTTCCAAGACCTGCGCCCGCCGGGCCCCCCCCCCCGGGGTCCCCGCCCCGGTTACCTAGGTCCCGAGGTCGCGGCGTCCGTGGACAGGGCGCCCGGGCCCGCGCTCCCGGCCCCTGCACCTGGCGGCGCTCGGTCGGCGCCAGCCGGTCCGCCCTGGCTCCTGGGCGCGGCGGGCGGGGCGTTCCAGGGAGGAGCCCAGGGCGCGGAGCCCCACCACGTGCCACCGACCGACCCGCACCTCCCAGGCTTCCCGCCCTCGCCCAGTCCAGGGAGCCCTGGCACCGAGAACTCCTCCCAGACTCCCGAGGGCTGGGACCCGCGGGGCTCCTGGGGCACAGGGCGGGGAAACCTGCAGGAAGGACAGGAAAACCGGGTGGGAGGAGTTTGGGCTGCGCTGTACCCCACACGGGGTCTCTGGAGGGCCCTGGCCCTGGGTCTCCTGGGCCCTCCTTGTACCCCAGGGCTCCCGGACTGGAAGTGCTGGGCCTGGCCTCCTGCCAACTGCTGGCAGTGACAAGAGGGGAAAGGACACAGAGGACAAAAAAGTTAGGCTACGAGGACCCAGATGTGGCAACTGCCAGGTCACAGCTACTTCCTGCTGCCACCACCAGGCCACAAGACCTGGGAAAATCCTCCGCTGGGACAAAAGTGGGCAGGAGGCAGGGAGACCCATCCTCCTCCCTTGCCTGGCTGGCGGGAAAAGCCCAGGACAGTCGCACACCTGGGCTGTCCTCCCCCAACTCCCTGACCTTGGGTGACTCTCCTTCTGCAGTGGGGTGTGGTGCCCGCTTTCGGCAAGTGGGTTGCAGTTTATGATCTCGGGCCCCTTTCTGTGGGTCCTTGCTTTATTAGAGTGTGTGTGTGTGTGTGTGTGTGTGTGTGTGTGTGTACTTACACATGCATGCCCATGCTTGTCCTCTCAGAGCTAAGTCTTCTGCCAGCCAGACCTTGCCAAGGGCGCCCGGCACGGGGGAGAGGATCCTGGCTCTGTGTGGAAGGCAGAGTGGCCCTGGATGGGCCCCTCAGCATCTGTGTGACAGATGCCGCAGCTGGGCACTCTGAGATGTGGACAGGAAGCCCTGGAGGGCACAGAAGGTGTGCGCTTCCTGGTCCCTTTCCATGCCCGGGCAGCGATGGGCTTTGGAGACAGGAGAGGGCGTGAGGGCTCTCCAGGGGCCAAACCTCACCCTGGGCACCCACTGCCAGCTACCAAGGCAAACAGCCACCCGGAGCCCCGCCTGGAGCACTGGCACTGGAGCCCCTCGGTGTCAGAGGGAGGAGGAGGCGGCGCCCAAGCTAAATGTGGGTGGCCGGTGGCTCAGTGAGGGGTGTGGGCATGGCTTGGCCAACCCCACTGCTGGGTACCACCGAAACCCGTCCCTGCTCTTGGGGCTCCGCCCAGCTGGAGGATGAGATGGGTGTGGAGCAGGATAGGCGCCGTGATGGGGCCGCTCAGGGCTCAGAGCAGGGGAAGGGAGGACAGGGCTGGGGCGAAGATCCCGTGGAGAGGGATTTGGGGAGTACTGGGTTCAGTCACCTGTGTCACAGTGAGGAGAGGGAGGCCCAAGAGGGGAAGTGACCCGCAGCAGAGTTGGGCTGGGCAGGGCCTAGGCCCCACTTTCCAGATGAGAACATGGAGCCCGGAGAGACGCTGGGCCTTGCCTGGGAGCCTGGGCCTAGATTGACCACTTCTGCCTTTGCTGCTTTGGGCTGTGAGACAGAGGAAGGAATGGATACAGGGGCGCCGACCCAGCATCAAGACCTCCTGCTGCCGCGCCCAGGGAGGGGTCAGGTTGCTGCCCATTTCCTGGGGCTGCCGTCAGAAGCTGGCACAGGTGGTGGCTTCCAGCAGCAGACTAGCACTGTCGCTGTCCTGGAGGCCAGAAGTCCCAAACTAAGGGAACCTTTGCCCTGAGAATCCTTCTCTTTTACTTCCCGGGTCTGCTTCTGGAGCTCCTGGGCTCCCATCCCTGCCTCTGTCTTCGCTGTGTCTCCAAGTCCTCTCCTCTGTGTGTTAAGGACACCAGCCCTGGGGTCAGGATGACCTCAAGACCCTTCACTTTCTTGTCCCTGCAAAGACCCTTTTGGCCACAGTGACAGGCAGTGGAGGGTAGGATGCACCTATCTTGTGAGAGGACATTGCTCGACCTCCAGCAGCCTCTTTCCTCCCACTCTGCAGGCCCAGACTCTTCCCCTTGGAGTCCCAGGCTTCGTCACCTCCTGTCTAGGGTTCCTCTCAGCTGCTGGACAGAGCTTCCTATGGCATCACCTCCTGAAGAGGCCAGAGCATCTGGGGACCCAATGGGGAGCCGCCTCTCTCTGTTCCTACCACCTCCTCAGCCTGCTCTGATGGCAGTCAGACACCACTGTAGGGACAGAGGACAAAGAAACTTTCTTCTAAGATGGGGACTTTATAAAAGCAGTCTTTCCTAAAAACTGTGACTCTTGGCCAGGCATATAATCCTAGCACTCGGGAGGCTGAGGCAGGAGGATTGCTGTGAGTTTGAGGCCCATTTGGGCTACATAGTGAGTTCGAGGCCAGCCTGTAGTGCATAGGAAGACCCTGTCTCATTTTTAAAAGAAAAGATCCTCTGGGACACTGATGTGCACCCGGGGTGGAACCTCCTCCTTCTCTGTGCTCAGCGCCAAGCTACCATCCCCGCCCCTCCCCCTTGTCATCTCCCTGGTGCCCCGAGCCCAGCTCACAGCAAGGAGACGAACAAATAACTAAGTGGGGCTGAGGGGGCGCAGGTCTTTCCCGGTAGCAATGCAGTCACACTTCCTGCATTTCAGGCCATGGATGCCTCGAGCTCCCTCTCGCTGCCCGACCCTGTGGTCAGTGCTGCAGTGAACCCGGGAGGATGGGCAGGAGGCGACTCCCTGAGCAGCCTCTCCCTCTGCTTCGCAGGAAGCCGCTGCCTTGCCCAAGGTTCACAGCCTTTCAGGACCACCCCAGGCAGAACTTGGCCACCTCCTCTGACCCTGGGCCCTCTTGGCTACTTCAGGGCTCGCTATCTGCAAGCCCCGGGCAAACCTGCACTCACTTCTCCCCAGCAATCCCACACCTGAGCACGGAAAGGCCTCAAAAAACCAGAAGAGGCCTTTGAGCAGTTCCAGCATGGTCCCTCATGGCAGGAAGCATGCAGCAGCCTGCATGTCTGGCTGTCAGCTGTGCCTAGCAAGGCCACACGACATAGGGAGACACCGTGGTGTCGGTATAAAAGTGCACTGGCCAGGAAGGAGCCCCGCTGGGGAAAGGTGTGTGCGTGTGTGTGTGTGTGTGTGTGTGTGTGTGTGCGCACAGAGCTGGAGGGAAACCAGGAAAGAAACAAAAAGAAAAGAAAACCAAAATGCTCACTTCATGGTTGCGGGGAGTGTGAGTGATTTTTGGTTTTGCTGGGATATTGTCTGTGCAATAAATATTTGATATGAGTGCATCATAATAATTAGTGTGATTAGGCCCATGTTCAGCGCTGGCCTTTGTTTTTGTTTTTGTTTTTGTGGTGCCAGGGATCAAAACAAGGGGCTCTCTAGTACTGGGCTACATCCCCAGGATGTTTTGTTTGAAGACAGGGTCTCATTAAGTTGCCCAGGCTGGGCTTGAACTGAGATCCTCTGGCCTCAGCCGACCACTAGCTGCCTCTCTGGGGAATTTGCATGTGAAAGAAGCCCAAGCTGCAGACACACAGGGTGGGGTGGCAGAACTATTGAGGGGAGCACCCCTTCTCCACCCCACACACCCCGTCAGCCCTCTTAGAGGGGTGCACTGTCCTTGTGGGGAGGCTCAGGCTCCAAGCCCCACATTTGCTGGAGTTGCCTTGTTCCATAATAAGAATATCTGTGGTTGGGCCCAAGCTGCTACTCAGTAACCAAGGGAGGATTCTTGCTACAACGCACTCTGGATCTAAGGGCACTGCTGCCTTGATGGCCGTCAAACCGGAAGAACCATGAAAGGAGCAGAAAGAGCCGGCGTGGCCAGGGGCCTCTCCCTGCAGCCTTCAGCTCCCCTGCCACCCGTACTCCCTTCAGTGGCAGGCTGCATGCGGAACACTTCCGGGCTGGGACAGAGCTGACCCACAGGCACCCCACTATCCTGCAGCCCGGGTGTAGGTGTTTCAAAGTTGTGGTCTCAGGAAAGACCTGTCCTCACCTGGCCCGGGAGCTGGCAGAGCTGGGAGCAGGAAGTGTCCCTGCAGGGCCGCCCTCCTGGAGCTCAGCCTGGCTCACCAGGGAGCAGCTTAGGTGGCCCATGAACCCTGTGACAAGTCTGGTCTGCTTAGGCGTGGAAGTCCTGTTTACACAAACATGTGCAGGGGTGAGGGTGCCCTTCACTTCAGCCAGAGGGTTTAAAGCATAACAGTAGGTCAAGTGTGGTGTTACACACTTATAATCCCAGCATTCAGGACGCTGAGTCAGGAGAGCAGCCTTGAGTTCAAGCCCAGCCTGGGGTACATACTGAGACCTTGTCTTACTAACTCAGGAAAAAAAAAAGCCATAAAAACCAATGCTTTCCAAGCTCTTGCCACAGGCCAGCTGCCAAGCTTCAGGGGCTCAATATCTCACCGAATGCTCAATGAACCCTGTGTGTACCACAGTCCCATTCACAGATGAGGTGAGACTTGTACCGGGTTGCATAGCTGGAATTCAAATCAGGACTGTTCCAAAGTTTGTGCTGTCAAGTGCAGCACTGAGTTGCTCATCTTAGAAATCAGAGGGAACCATCTGATTGTTCCTAAGTTAAAAATACATATGTGCAATTTTTCCCTGGGACCCATCTGCTCTGAGCTATCCTTTAGCTAGCATTCGAGACAGGATTCCTATTCACCTTCCCTAGTCAATTTGCAAGCTTCCATGGGCAAAAAATGATGATTATTGAGATAGCATTAGTAGCAGGCTTTTGTTGTTGTCGTCACTGAGGCAGGGTCTCACCATGTAGCCCAGACTGGCCTCAAACTTGTGGTGATCCTCCTGCGTCAGCCTCCCCAGTGCTGGGATTACAGGCACGGACTACCACGCCCAGCAGGATCAGTTATGTTGTTGTCAAATTTGTTTTCCGATCAAGGCTGAGTGCCTCTGGTCCATTTCATACATTAGAGTGCATTAGGTTGGAAGGGGCCTGGGAATGTATTAGCCATTCTGAGTGTCAGAACTGAGAGGGCAGGTGGCTGCCTGCGGTCTCTCCATGAATCGCAGGCGCGGTCTGCATTCAGTGCCGCCTGCGCTCCTGGGCTTTCCTCCTCTTCACAGTTTTTGTGCAACTATCTTGGTTTCTGACACTTCTACTAGCAACTTCCTTCAGGTGCAGCCCATCTCCTGCCTACCCTGCAAGTTCTCCTGTGCTTTCCTACCCATACAGCTTGTTCCTAACCCTCCCCAATCCTCAGGCATTAATGATCTGGCCTCAGAGGAAACAGTGGAGGCTGAGAATCTGCCAACAGCAGTGGCCATGAACTTGCGTGCTGTTCAGGAACTTTTCAGAGCAAAATTGGGTTTGAGGGTACTCCTGAAATCCCTGCTGAATATTTTAGCTTGGGTGCGAGCTGCTACTGACAGGGAAGAGATTGTTGAGAGCTGTGTAAACCTCTCAGCCCCATGCAGGTGTCCTTGGTCACATCAAGTCCTTACCCTAGATCCTGGAGTCTGGTGACAAACAGCTTTCTCAACACCCCTGGATCAGGAGACACCCTGACCACAGCTTCTTCTACCTCCTTGAACACTGCACTCCCCTGTCCTTCCCTCCTTCCTTTCTGCCAACCTAGAGCCCCCAGGCAGGTCCCAGTCACCGGGGCCAAGTGCACTGTGGGACTGATGGCCAAAGATGGATACTTATGGCTGAAGGGTCTGGCAGCTGTTAAGTGCGGGAAGCCGGGACCCTCATTCACATCCGGTGCATTTTCAGCCCTACCTTCAGGTCTGCAGTGGGCCCCTAATGTCCCCCACTTTCCATGAGCTCAGTCCCCTCTGATTGCAGAGAGGGGACGCTGCAAGTCCTGCAGAGAAAAGGGCCAGGTAAGACCCAGAGCCCAGTTCAAGTCTGGACTTGTCTGGGCGGGTCCTGGGCCTCAGGGTCAGGCAGACAGGGCGGCAGCCGGCTCTGAGCTTGCTCTCCACCTCCTGCCCAGGCCCAGGCCACCTGCAGAGGCGCAGGAGGCTCAGAGCTGCTAAGCCACTTGTTCAAGCTCACACGCTTGACAAACAGCCGAGTCAGGACTTGGGCCCAGCGTCCGGTTCCCTTGGTGACCCTCACAGCCGGTGACTGTCTGATTGCTGGCCTGGCTGCCCCAGGGCCTGCAGAGGGCTCGGTCCTGCCCCACGGAGCCGGGATTAAGCTTCACCCGCCCACCCACACCACACCTGTGCATTTGCCGTGAAGGGCTAAGGTGCTGGGGACACTTGTGGGGTCTTGTCACCCCCAGACAGGGTCAGATGCCCACAGGTTGGGAGCAAGGCCTCCTCTGGCCCCTGGTTGCCTTATTTCTTTTTCCTCTTCTCTTCTCTTCTCTTCTCTTCTCTTCTCTTCTCTTCTCTTCTCTTCTCTTTCTCTTCTCTTCTCTTCTCTTTCTCTTTCTCTTTCTGTTTTTTTGCCCCAGACAGGTTCTCACTATGTAGTTCAGGCTGGCCTCGAACTCCAGTGATCCTCCTGCCTCAGCCTCCCAAGTGCTGGGATTTCAAGTGTGCGCCACCATGCCTGGTTTTCCCTTTTCTTTCACTCACTCATCCATTTTTATGCAGATCTTGCAGAGCACCTTCTTGGTGACAGGCTCCGTGATAAGTGACACAGACAGCCCCCAATTTCCTGGGCTCAGATTTATAATTGTTCTACCTTATGACGGTGTGAAAGTGACACTCACTCAGTAGGAACTGTGCTTTCAATTTTAAATTCTGATTTTCCCCGGTGACAATACGCAGTACATACCCTTGCTGGGTGGCAGCTCGGAGTCAGGCAAAACCATAGACCTTCTACAGGGTGCTGTGTGCTGAGCTCCGAGGTCCAAGTGCATCTTTTCATTAAAGACTGTTTCAACTTTCCATGGGTTTATCCAGACGTAACCCCATCGTACATCCTGTGGGTAGGGGGTCCAGTGGTCCCTCAGGTCTAATCCCCCGATGTGTGCAGATAAGATGGAGTTAAGAATCTTGAGTGGGAAGATTATCCCAGGTTATCAGAGAGAGCCGCTATATCCCCAAGGGTAACACCCTCACCCCTGAGCTCCCGTCCTGCCAGACCAGCGTGATTTCGATTCTCAGCAGCAGGGCCCCTCTGTGACCTGTGCAGGTGAGGCGCCTAGGGTGCATGCCTCCAGATAACCCCGAAACTACCAGCCCACTCCAGCCCGTCTGTGGTCTGTGAGGAAGTGAGAAAGCTGTCTTCCACAAAACCACTGTTCTGGGAGGCCCGAGTCCCTGGTGGGGACCACACTTCGAGAACCGCTGAAGTGGACCTGTTCGTTCCTGTGCTGACGTGTTTCCACCCGACTCCTCTTAGAAGGGCAGGTGCCTGAATGTAGGAAAAACAAATACATGAAGAAAACCAAGGAGACAAAAGGGGATGGGGAGAGCACCGTGGGTTTGATCCCCCATACCACACACAAAACGTTTAAGAAGTGTAAAGAAAACACCTGAAATTCATATAGCATCAGAGCCAGAAATGAGCCCTATTTGTATTTTAAAGTGATTTAGTATTTATTCGATATGCATATATAACACACACAGTTTGCCTTCAAATTTGGGGTAATACTGTTCATATATTTAAATGTCTTTATTTTACTTAATATGTTGTATTTACATAATTTGTGTATTTTTCATGTTATTTTGAAATGTAAAATGTAATGTTTTGAATTCTGGATAATATACTTTTGCATACATGCACCATAATTTATTGAATCAATTTCTTCTTACTGAGTATTGCTTCATTGAGGTTTTCATTCACATTCCCCTAATGCTGAGGATGCTCAGCCTCTTTCTGTGGTTAGTACTTATTCTCATGTCCTCAGTGAACTATCTGTTCAAGGCTTTTCCCTATCAAAAAACTTGAGGGGAGGCCGGGGATTTAGCTCAGTGGTTCCACTGCCTGCCTCAGAAGCGCAAGGTCCCAAGTTCGATCCCCGGTACAAAAAACCAAAAAACTTGAGGAATTTGTTTTCTTACTATTGAGTCCTTCATATATTCTGGATATAAGTCCTTTCTCAAATATATGATTTGTAAATATTTTCTCCCAGCCTGTGTAGATTATGCCTTATTTTCAGTGTCTTTTAATATTGATGGAGTCTAATTTAACATTTTTTCCCTTTATAGATTATGCTTTAGGTGTGGAAGAACTCTGCCTACCCCAAGGTCATAAGGATTCCCTCCCGCACCGGAAGTCTTCTAGATCTGCATCACACGTGCAGCCCTGGGGTCCACTGAGTTCCCCGTCATGTAAGGTTCGGGGCACATGAGGACCGCATTTCTGCTTCACTTTGAAGACAGTGTCCGCTTGTCCCACATCTGAGGATGTCACACGCAACTTGGTAACAGGATTGAGGAGACACACAGGAGCACACGCTTGTGTGCATGCTCACACACATCCACACAAGGTATGCACACACGTACGCACACGTGCACTCGCGTGCAACTTTCCTGTGCCGTGGGAAGGGCTCTCATTGCACTCTGGGGCTCCGTGATAACATCGGAAGGCGCTGTCCCTCAGCCAGGGTCGAAGAGGGCAGGTGGCCGAGGAGACAAGTGGGGGCTGCGGAGCTCCGCTCCCTGCGCTAGCGGCTCATGGGTCCCCGCCGGCCAGCAGGTGGCGCTCGCGCGCGGGCAGACAGCTCTGTAGCTGATCCCCTCTGGCCCCCACCCCAGCAACCCCTGGGTCTTTCTGCCTCCCATCTGAGACTAGGAAGCAGGCATTGAATGTCATCAGCAAACAGTGCGACCGGGAATCAGGGCAGTGACTCCACCTCTTCGTGGCCGGTTATGTGGGGGTGACTGTTAGACTCGCACGTGGTTTTTATTTTTATTTATTTAAAAAAATTTTTGGTACCAGGGATCGAACGAACCCGGGTCCCGTTTGCGAGGCAGGCAGCGGGAACACTGAGCTAAATCCCTGGCCCACGTGGTTTATATTTTTTACAAAACATCTGGTAAGATTTAATTAATTTTAAGTTTTGATCATTACTACTTATGATTTGTACTCTGCCTTCATGTAGTAGACAAAATTTAATACTCTAGGAGAAATAAAATGTACACTTTCAGAGTTTATTTTTACCATTGATTTGATTGAATTTACATTTCCATGGTGAAGATGTATTCTAACTTTATACTCAGAGCATAATGAATTTTATTTACTTATTTGTTTGTTGGTTTATTTTTGGAGACAGGGTCTCATTATTATGTAGTTCAGGCTGGACTTGAACTTACTGTGTACTTGAACTCAAGGTGATCCTCCCACCTCAGCCTCCCAAGTGCTGAAATCACAGGTATGCACCACCACACCTGGCTCATTTATTTACATTTTTAAATTACATTTTTATATTGACTGATAAAATTGTATATATTAACCATGTACAACTCAATGCTTTGAAATATATATATATATGACTAAATCTAGCTATTGAACATATGCATTACCTCACATAGTTATCATTTTTGTGGAGAACACACATACTCACTCTTGGCCTTTTTGTAGAATACAAACATGACCTGTAGTCACTAAGCTGTGCAATGTATCCCAGGGACACATTCCTCCCGTCTAACTGAACTTTGGGATCTTCTGACCAGCACCTCTTCATCCCTCCAACCATCTACCCTTCCACTGTCTGCTTCTGTTTGAGCAAGCTTCTTAGATGCCACATACAAGGGAGGTCCCCTGGTGTCTGTGACCTCACCATTAGCCAGTGAGGTCATTGCCTTCACCGTTTTATTTCCCTGTTTCAGAGAAGACGAGGCTGGCTCATTTCATGCAACACAATGTCCTCCAGGCCCAGCCCTGCTGTCATAATAGACAGAACTTGTCCGTTTTAGGGATGAATAATATTCCACACATACCACCTTTTCTCTGCTGAAGGACACATACGTGGAGCCCATATCTTGGCTACTGGGTACAATGCCGCATTGAACACGGACAAGCAGGTGTCCTTAACACACTAGTTTCATTTTCCTCGGAGGCACCCAGGGTGGGGTTGCTGGGTCTAAATATTTAGGCACGTGGTATGCGAGCTTCCATGATGGGACCCAGGGCCTTGTGCTGGTAGGCAGGCACCCTGCTGCTGGGCTGCACCCCAGTATCTCTACTTGTGCTCCTGTTCTAGGCCCCGGCAAACCTAGGAGCCAACCGGAGAGCATCAGGCCCCTCACTGCCTGCCCCAAGAGGCTGTGAGGCACCATGGGAAACTCCCTGGCCAGGAGACGCAGGGCCCGCCTCGACGCCTTATTTCCCCCCAGTGCCCATGAATCAGAAGAGGCCCTGCCTGCCACACAGCACTGCTTAGCAACCAAGTGATGCCAAGTGCACAGAAGGCCTCTTCATCACAGAGGGGACCACTGTCCCCCTGCCCAGGACCCCCATTTCCCTGCCTTTCCTGTACCCTAAGGGTCACCAGCTCACTCTGCTTCATTCAGTGGGCAGCAGGTGTGGGCAGCACATTTCATACCACAGACATCTCTTCACCCATAGTGGATCCAGAGGTGACCAAGAGACCAGTGACCTAGACTTCGTACACAGAGGTGAGCTGGTTTTGCAAATGGGAAAGGGACCAACAGACAGGGGTGGGAAGGGGAGAGAACAGGAAGTGAAAAGAGTTACGATGTACCAACTCCACAGTATGAATGTGATTGTTATATACTGCAAACACGGACTAATAAAAATTAAAAAACAAAACAAAACAAAAAAACCAAGCCAGATGTGGTGGTGCAGATCTGTAAGTCCAGCACTCAGGTGGCTGAATCAGGAGGATTGCTGGCAGTGTGAGGCCAGCCTGGGATATATACTGAGATCTTGCCTTAAAAAAACCAATCAATCAATCAGAACAAGGATGAGCTGGAATAGAAAGGACATTTTATTTTTATTTATTTATTTTTTTGCAGAATACCTACTCTTTAATGTAAAGACTGATGTTTACTTTTTCAGTGGTTCAATCTCACTAAGCTCTTAGCAGACCCCAAGTAAAAGACCAATTTGTAAAACTGGGCCATTTTAATGTTCTTACAATTTAATAAATAATTCTCTTGATGACTGCAGTTATAAAAGCTGTGGTAGTATTCACAGTAATGGTGGTTTTCCTCATTGGTCTGCAGTCTTCAATAAGTGTAAGAAGTTATTGTATGAAACATCTTTCAAACCAGTCAGACTGCACTGATGCATCCATCATTCACAGAATTGTTGGTTACCTGGGCATATTTACCCCAAATAACCTTGCCTCCTTGTGTCACAAGACCCACCTCGCTCACGTTCACTTCAATCACTGTACCTTTGGTAATAACACCCAAAATTGTATACAGTGGTGATGAAGGATTTTTTTTTCACACCAAGTATTGGCAGGCAAAAGGTGGCTTTCAGTTCAGGGTGTGTTACATGGGCCTTCTTGAAACGTAAGCCCATTGGCCTAATGGACGTTTCGTATTTTGGTGGATCTCTTGTAAAGCCGTCTCCAACAAGGCAGACTTTAGTAACCATCCTCTTCCATGCCTTCTTTTTTCTCTTTCCAGTTCGAATAACTTTCAATACTTCTGTCTCTCCCTGTGCACGAACTTTGGGCAGAGGGACTTCCCATTTTCCTTCCAGAAAGGACATTTTAATAGCACTACTTGTCTTCTCCCTTCCTTGGACACCCTGACCCACGTGCACTGAACAACTCAGTAGCACAGTGGGGCTCCCCTTCTGCACTGACCCCTCCCCATCACCCCATCTTTGTACTTGAGTCACCAGTTTCCTCATGGTTTAAACTCAGAAATAGCCACAAACTCTAACATCTTTTTCTTTCTTTTTTTTTTTTTTTTTTGGTACTGGGGATCGAACTTGGGCCCTTGCGCTTGCGCAGCAGGTGGCGAAACCACTGAGCTAAATCCCTGGCCCTCTAACGTCTTTGATCCAGTGCTTGGAGAAACAAATAGCAGGTTATTATCTGCTAGACATCATGAAAGAATCAAATATCCTTGACAAAATTCACAACAAAATGTGTGACCTTGGAGAGTGGATGTGGTCACCAAGGTCACCCAGGAAGACAGAAGTTGTCACTGGTGAAATTTGATAGTGACAGAAATGTGACGCGTAAACCAAATTTCTGATACAAAATGTAAGTGGAAAAGAACTGGTCCCAGTGAAAAGAGCACCAGTCGACTGGAAATGAAAAGGAGGAACATTGGAAATAGCTTAACTGACCTTATGAGATTGATCAAGGAATTAAATTGACTTAACAGAGTCCATTCCAGAAAACCCATTCCCAAAGAAAATCTATCAAAGTCACAATGCTTCTGAGTTATGTGTTTGTGTTAAAGATGGAGCCATGTGTGGTGATGCATGCTTGTAGTCCCGGCACTTGGGAGGCTGAGTCAGGAGGATTTCAGGGTGTTGGAGAGCAGCCTCGGCTACTTAGTGAGTCTCAAAAAACCAAACCAAACCAAAATAACCAAAATGGCTCTGTGGCTATTCTGCAGGGTCATCACCAAGAAAGCAAGAAGCTGCTCTTTGTGGAACTGAACCTGGAAGACAGAAAAAGTTGTATCATATGACAATCCAGGCTGGGTTTTATTATTAGATTGTTATTATTATTAATTTGATTTGGGGGCTCACTCTGGTCCCCAGGCTGGTGTAGAACTCGTGACCTCCAGGGTTTCTCCAGCTTCAGTCTCCCAAGTAGCTGAGCCTACAAGTGCCCCTGTTTCATTATTTTACTCGTTATGATTGTATACTTTTTTCTTCTGATTTGAAAGGGAATTAAAACATGTTTGAGGGCTCTTAAAAAGCACCCTGGGCCCTGAGCAATGCTATTAATAGATACATGGGCCCTCATGGGGACCCGGGTCAAGGCAAGGAAGAAAAGTTGGGGTGAACCTGGGGGCGGGGCTGCAGCTGGTTCCCCGCGTGGGAGGTGCAGCCTGTCCGCCCTCCCCAAGGCCCAGGCTTCAGGCATGGAGCCCTTTCCTGGGTGCATCCTGTTCTTGCAGCCTACAGCCCTCCTGTACAGACCCTAGCTCTGCTGGCCCCAGAACATAAGAGCCCCACTTCCGGGAGGGTGGACCCCACACCACTGCCTGCTGGAAGCGAGGAGGGGCAGCCTCAGCTCTGAGCCCTGGTGCTGAGACTGTTGATCTCTTCTGGTGCAGCTCCTGCTAGTGACCCTGTCCTGTGTCGAGCGCCTACTGCCGTCTAGCCCGCGTCCAGGGTGTCACCTGCCTCCGGCCCTGTAGGATGTTCAGCAGCTTCCCAGGCCTCTAACCTCCATGCCAGTAATGACCCCTCCCTCCAAATGGTGACCATCAAACATGTTTCTAGATTTTGCCAAGTGTCCTCCAGAGACAAGATATCCAGTGAGAACCACTGCTTGGGGAATGGGTGTTGACAAACCAGACAGAAGACTTGGAGTGGCTGTATTCTGGATACTATGGAGCTGCTCCAGAAGACGAAGGATACAGAAGGATTAGTGTGTCCAAGATGCTTCAGAGCAGTGTGGTGAGTCACGTGTAGGACTGTCTGCCGGTGACTCCTGCTCCTGGGGAGGCTGAGGCAGGGGGATTGCAACCTGGAGCCCAGATGGGGCAACCCTGCCTCAAAATAAAAATAGTCAAAGAACTGGGGATGTAGCCCAGTGATGGAGCACTTGCCTAGTATACGAAAGGCCCTGGGTTCGATCCCGTGGGGTGGGGTGGGGGGAGAAGGGGGGGTGGGGAGGAGGAGGAGGGAGGAGAGGAAAAGGGGGAAGAGGAGAAGGAGGAGGGAGGGAGGAAAAGGAGGAAGAGGAGGAGAAGGAGCACGAGGAGGATGAGGAGGAAGAGGAGGAGGAGACAGAAGAGGAGGGAGGAGAAAAAGGAGGAGACTAAATCTAGTCTCATATGCATTCTGTCTGGTCTATCTAGTAATAATTTAACTTTTGAAATGATCTCAGATGCTTCATATCATCATGGTTCTCACCATTTCTCATTATCCAGTGACATAATTATTCACTTACCACATTTCACCTTCCTGGTTTCTGAGGCGCTGGGTGCTGATGCATTCATATTTCTAATACACAGAAGATAATGATATTTCACTGGGGGTTTGGCCTCCCTCCAGGTGTTTGGATGAAGTTCAGAGCCTCTAGCAGCCCAGCATTCCTGGGCACAGACAGCACGGCTGGAAAGTCTCTGGAACTCCCTGACTAGGTCCCAGCAGAGCCCGGGTTCTGGGTCCTCCGAGGCCTCTGCTCCTCTGGGAAGAGCCCAGCAGGTGACCAGGGAATCAGGGGAATCAGGTGCAGGCCTGCTCTAGGGGATCAGGTACAGCCTGCAAAGTAGAGGCCTGGGTGAGCACTGAGCATCTTTTCCTCTTGGTCCCCTCTCACCCAGTGAGTTAAAATTTCTCGGGCCTTGAGATCTGCTCACAGCACCGGGAGGACTGCGGCTGTACCCAGGCTGAGCAGAGTGGGTGACTCCGGGAACCCCACCGGAAGCCCTCAGTTAGTGATTCCTTCCAACTGAGGACTCTGCAGGGCGGGATGCCATCCTCAGACCCAAACCCCTTTCCCTCCCTGGGCACTGGAATTGTCCTTTGAGACCCGAGGACACTAGGGCACTTCTAGACAATTCTAGCACCAGCACTGCCTGAACAGACCAGGGCAGACTGGGTTTTCTGCTAGCATCTCCTCACTACCATGTCTGCCCACCCCACTGATGCTCTGGAGTTTTTATTTTTTTCTAACTTTCTGAGACAGGGTCTCCCTATATAGTTCAGGCTGACCTTGAACTCACTACATAGTCCAGGCTGGCCTGGAACTCTCAGCAATCTTCCTGCCTCAGCCTCTCAAGTGCTGGGATTATAGATGTGCACCACCGCATCTGGCCAGAGCATCATAAACATAAAAATTGTAAAAAACCAATCAAAATCATGCACATTTGCCATGTGTTTGCTCATAAATGAGACCTCAGCCTAATCTCACTCCAGAGAATGACTTCTTTCTCTGGTCCTTGGAGACGAGTCCCAGATTTCCCTAACTGTTATGGTGGCAATTTGCCTAGGTGCTCTGAAGAAGGAAGCTCAGGCACACACAGCTCTTCCTTACTGGGCTCTGGCCACCCCCAAAGCCCCATCTAAACTGGGGGTTCACATCAGTTAGCAGGCAGTCCAAGTCGTCTTCCATGGGACGTTTTTTTCTGCACTTCCACCGTTCTTTCTGCTATCGCTCCTCAATGGCTTGCTTTGTAAGCCTGTCATTTTGCAAAACCTTTCTACTTCTGGAAAAGGATTAGCAAAACTACACTGCGTAGCTGCTATTTAACATTCAGGAAATGCAGCAATGCATATGCGAGTTATCAATCATCTTTACCAGATGGCAAAGGGATCTCTTTTCACCAGAAATTGAGCAGCAAACATCTGAATTCGTCACCAACACAACATCTAAATTCATATCTCTTTTCAATCTGATACCCTTAATGAGTTGGTATAATGGAAATCAGTGTCTTGGCCCTAACAGTTCTAAGAATGCAGATCTGGGATTGAAAAAATTGTCATAAAACAAAACCTCACAACTTCCGATTTCTTTCTTTCTTTTTTTCTTTTTTTTGTCGTACTGGGGGTTTGGACTCAAGGATTTTGCATTGAGCTATATTCCCAGATCTTTCTTTAGTTTTTGCTTTTGAGATAGGGTCTTGCTAAGTCACTGACTTGTCCAGGTTAGACTCGAAATTGCAATCTTTCTGTCGCAGCTTCCCAGAGGGCTGGGATTACAGGTGTGTGCCACCATGCCCAGCATGATTTGCAGTTTTCATGTACTCTTTATACTTTTTAAAAACATTTTTAATTTATTTTTTTAGTACCAGGGGTCAAACTCGGGTCCTTGTGCTTGTGAGGCAGGTAGTGGAACCACTGAGCTAAATTCCTGGCCCCTTTTTTTCTGCTTTTAATTCTTGAGAGTTCTATATTCAGAATGGGCTAATGGGTGAGAATAAAAATCTAGCAGTTTGTTGCTGTCTGTTAGCATCACCATTTAAATTTAGTGTTACCTTTCCTTTGTCTACACAAAGATCTTAAAATCAATGAGTTCTCTATTAGAATTTTTAATTTTTTTTGAGACGAGGTCTATTTCAGGCTGGGCTTAAACTCACTATGTAGCCCAGGCTGGTCTCAAACTCAAGGCGATCTGCCTGACTCAGCCTCTGGAGTGCTGGGATTATAGATGTGTATTACCATGCCCAGCTGTGCATTAAAGCTCATGAGGTAAAAGAATACATTTTTGATATTCCAGTGCCAAATTGTAGATTTCTGCCCAATTAATGTTTCCCAAAGATCTCTGAGATTTGGCCTTTGCCAGTAATCATCAAATTAAATGGCAACCCTGGCTGGTCCAGTTTGTGCACACTCAGGGCAAAGAGCAGTTGTTATGGGCTGAATTGTGATCCCCCCTCACACGTTCAGGTCCTAATCCCCATGGCTTCAGGCTCAAGTGTATTTGGGGAAGGGGCCTTTAAAGACGTGACTGAGGTAGAATGAGGTCACAGGAACAGAGCCGAATCCAATGTGTCCCGAGTGTCCTTCCCGGACTCAGTCGTCAGGAGAGCAACCTCGTGGGACACAGCCAGGCTGCCCCTGCAAGCCACGGCAGAGTGGCTTCAGGAGAAACCAACCCTGCGGATCTCTTGGTTTGACTTTTGGCCTGCAGAACTGTGAGAAACACTTGTGGCTTAGGCCACACCACTCTGGTTTCTTATTACAGCAGCCCTAGCAAAACTACAGTGGTGCAGACTCCAGAACCAGAGTTTAACTACATTCTTCTCACTAATACTAGCGAGCAATCAACTATTGATAATTATCCCTGTGGACAGAGGCAAGGGGAGCTCAGCATGGAGGGCTTGCCTCCTGTCCAGGCAATGGGGAGACAAGCCCAGGACTGCTGCACTCTTATGGCTACTTCCCCCTAAGCGGGTGGAGACCACCTGACCAGAGTGCTGACCAGAGCCTGCTGAAATCTGTACACCATCAGCTAGGTCCGTGATCCAATGGAATTCTGCCACATGAATGGAGGGAATGTGTGTGAGCCACATGATAACATCAGTGAAACAGAGAGAGAAGCCACAGCTGGTTCGAAGGGCCTGGGAACCGGAATCAGTCCTCTGAAAAGGAGGGGTAACGCGAATAATGCCTGCCTATCATTCGAAGGGGGAAATACAGAAAACACAGGAGGTGCGAACTCTCAAGAAATCGACACTGAAGAGTCGATGCTCCTTTCCTCCCCACCTTGTCCCATCCTGGAGCCCCAGTTTACGCTGTCTCTTCCATGACACCTCCCTGACGGCCACACAGCCCAGCACCATCATCGTTCCTGGCCCCGGCAGAATGACACTGTCACTCCTCACGGCCCCTCTCACACACCTTTGCTGTCCACTTTGCACACCTCAAGCAAACACCATTTGTTGCCTGAGTAGCGATCGCGAGTTAAACCAGAATGATGGTTAGAAATCCGCTTGCTGGGCTCAAATAACCTCAGAATAATTAAAGAAACGTGCAGCCAAATTCCTCTTCAGATAAAAACTTTATTGTACAATTTTATAAAGCAGCTTTACATTAAGCACAAACAATCCATTTACTTTGTATAGAAACAAAATACCTTTCCATCTGCAAAAATCAAGTTTTGCTGTATAGAAAACTAACATGTGCACATTGTGCTTAAACTGCAAAGTCTGTACAGCTTTACAAAGGACTACCCTTCAGAAGGGCATCCGGTAAACACTTTATTGCATATTTAACACATGGTGTAGAACCCACATGTACAATGGAGGAGGAACAAGAAAAACAGCTAGAGGAGGATGGAAATAGCAGCTTTCAGTGAAAGTGTGCATACAACAAAGAAAGGGACCACTGCATCTGGAGTGTTGTGCTTGGGTCAGTCCTGCAGGTGCTCCCGTACACTGGGGGGCTCTCAATGAAGCCTTTATGTACAGTGACGCCTGAAGGGTCAACCTGACCTTCTGGAAACTTTTGGCTGGTTTTGCAACTGAAGTGGCTACAGATTTAATATTAAAGCTAACTCAAGCAAAAAACCCCTCAATACCTATAATCTTAAAGAAACATTGAAAGAAACACAACTTTAAAATACCCTCCTTATTCTCTAAACGCAGAATAAGTAAACATTTTACAGGATTTGGAACCCCAGGAAAGGCTCTCCGTGTCTCGAGGCCACCATGCGGGGCATGATCCCAGGCAGGGTTCAGCCCGCCCATGGCAGTCTCCTGCATGCTGGTATAACAGGTTCTCCTGCTTGCTGGGCTCAAGTAAGGCCAGAATAATTAAAGAAGAAACAGGCAGACTCACTGGGGGTTGGGAGCTGCATCTGACAAGTTCACAGGGAACTCTGAGGTGTCCTGCAGCTTGACAAGCCCTGCTCCGTACTGATAATGTCGCGATGGGTTCAACTCATCCTCTCTGAAAATTCCAGATCAAAAGACAAACTGAGCTGCTGTTGCCATGTGGAAGGCAGTGTAAATCCATCAGCAATGCGCCGTTTCTGGGTCTAAAGCCTTTCCCTATTTGGTGGAAAAGGACAGCCGTACTGTTAAGGCACTGGAACCTGTCCCAGGAGCAGGACCACGCTGTCCCTACTGATTCCCCTCATCTGAAGACCAGCGCACAAACACAAAGCAGAAGTCTGCACTGTTCTAAGCAGTGACATACATGAAATCTAAAAGGTTCCAGGATTGGAGAGTTTACTTTTAATATCAATATTGAAAAGTGAGGGAGTCCTCATTTTTATAGTTGAGACAATAAAACGTGGACATTCAAATGCTGAGACATCTACTGTGTAAGAACTACAAAGCTCAATGGCTAGGGGAAACCTAACAACCCACAGCTGCTTGTGTTACAGGCAGAATTAAGAGTCATCACATAAACTGGGAGTTTAAGCTTATTTTTCTATGGCCAGCTTAGTACTGTCTTCAGTGTAGGGCTGTTTCTTCTTCACTCCTGCCCCTCTGGATGCTAATAAATATGTTTAACATATATACCACATACGTCTCTATGTATGTATTTTCTAGTTTCTAAGTAGTGCTTGGCAGGCTGAATTCAGTCATGATACAGTGTGTAGCAGGTAACTCTCCTGGCCCTTACAGGTACATCTGAGAGAGGTCACACTGTTGTTTCAGTCCCTTGAAAATGTGGGGTCTCATATTTCCAAACTGTATGTGACAGGATCAGTTCAGGTTTCTATTAGACCCTAAAACAAAAACCAGAGCAAATTCAGCCCCTGCTGGTTTGAACTTAATGGCTGAGGCCCGATAGCAGACACTGCCCATGGTGTAAGGGTTAGGAAACCTACTCACGTGAGGTTCAGTAGGATCCATAGCCTCAACAAAGATCTGATTATAAATGGACAGCAAATTAAGTAGCATTTCTTATTTAACAGCTGGAATAAATTAAAATTAAATTTCAAAGAAAAACAACAGAACCAGTGATGTGGAAAGTGATAGTCAAGAATAAGCTAGGCAGGAAAAACCTATGACTCATGTATGTGATATTTAACCCACTATTTTTCCTCAAAGGGGGAAAGTCCTGTCAGGGTGGCCTTAAAATTCGTAGCTCCTTCCCAAAATCAGGAGGGTAATAAACAATCCACGTAACAACCCCCCAAACGTTGGGGTTTTATCCCCTAAAGTGGATAAAACTCTCAACGCATAGTCTGAAATTAAATACAAAATCCTCAATAGTGAAAATCATCACTTTGGGGACAGACTGATTATCAAACTTTTACTGATTATAGATCAAGTTTCACAAAACAGATAACATTTTTGTAATTTCTTGTGCAGTCAACAAGTTTCATTTTAAGTTGTGCTTACGTTTATAGAACTGTGAAGCCTGAACACTGTGTTTTTAATTTACACATTTAAAAAAAAAAACAAAAAACCCAACAATCACAATTCAAAATATTCTCTGTATATAACAAATTGAACAAATACTCATTTGCTCCCAAGAAACAAGTCTACAGGAAAGAAATATGTTTTTCCATAGTTCTACACAGTCCTCTATCCAGGCTACAAGTACGTATTTACTGTATTACAGCACATCATTGTTTTGAAGTCTGCTTTCAACATAAACATAAATAGTCACATTTTAAAAGAGCTCCATACTAGGTTTTCAGGTAAGTGCCGGCCAAGGAGAGCTACTTGCCCCCCACCCCTACCCCCAATCTGATCTCAGAGTAGTGACTGGACAGCGGGTAGGACCGAGAAGGGGAGGAGAAGGTGAAGACCAGACTAAACACTCTGTTCTAAATGCCACCTGCACTCTTAAACATCCAGCCACAGAATGCAAGTATTTCAGAAGAGTGTCTTTAAGGGTCACTTATCACTCTGCTATCATTCATAAAACCTAGCACACAACCTTTTAAAATGTGCCTGTGCTCCGCTGAGATAGAGCCCGCAGTTTCCACTCAGAGGAGGCTGAATGTGGTTTTGGTTGTGAGCTCTAGTTGTGCTTTGCCCTGCTGCCTTTAAGGTAGCTCTTCCACCTCTTGACAAATTCTTTGAAGATGGGGGACTCATCGATGGTACTGAGCAGCTGCAGCTGGTTGATGTGTGTGGTGTGGTAGTCCCAGCGAGCCAGGTTGGGTGCGATGCCCAGCATGAAGTGTCGGAGGTCGTAGATGGTTCCTGAGCCAGTGTCGTACAAAGGAAGCATGGCTTTGAGGGACTCCATGCCACGCTCATACAAGGACCTCGCTTCTTTGCCAAGCTTTTCCCCTGCAGTTTCTTTTAAGTCATACAGTCCAATTAAGGAATACATAAAGCCATTTAAAACGAAAGAGCTGGGAGTGGTTGGATATTCTTCATACCAGTCGTGTTTATTCATAAACACAGCTTTGACTCCATGCTGCTCGGATAGGAGCTTGTAAGGGGCTGTTGCCCGTAAAGCTGAATTGAGGAATGTGTGGTCTTTTGTTAACAGATAGGCCCTTACCAGTGTGGACATGGCTTGCCCTTGGGCCATTGCAGAGTACCACCCTGGCTCTAAGGACTTAAAGCCTTCCCCTAACTTTCGGGTCACCATAATGGGCCAGCCCCCCTTCTCATCCTGGTTCCTCACCAGCCAATCACTAGCAGCGAAGAATGCGGCCATGTGGGCTGTGGTAGAGATGGTGATGTTGTCCAGGAATCCCTTCCCCTTTGCAATCAACCTTACCACCTTTTTGGGCATTATTTTGGTAGGCTTGACAGCTTTTGTGTTGGAGAGACCCACTCCTTTCCTGAGGTCAGTGACCAGATCCCTAGTCACCGTGCTCCACGAAGTTCTGGGCCCAATGCCATAGTACACATCTCTTTCTTTAAAAGCAATCAGCTGCGTGTTTGAGACATAATGTACAGTGAAGAGCTGATTCCTTTCTGTGGTCTCCAGAACCAGGGACACACTCCCATTTGTCAGGAACTTGAGGTCAAAGGAAATAATAAAATCTTTCGTGTTTCCCAGTTGCAAGGATACACCCTCGCTGGTTTCTGCAGAGGGGAATATATCAAGGAGTCGTTAGAATCAAGCACTTTTGCATTCAATATAATTGCAATTTATCCCTGACAACACTGACTGTATGAAATTATAACGCTGGCAAGTTATATAAGTTCTCTAACTGGTTACTTTGTATATCAGATTATTTTTGCTAAATTATTCATAAACAAATGATAGAACTGGTGAGTTCATGATGGTTTCTTTTTTAAAAATTTTTATTTTATTGGTACATTTTAGGTGTACAATATAATGACATTCATCATTAGAAATGTGCGCCTTTACATAATCTCTCTTGGTTCTTATTTTTCCCCATTTCCCTGCCTTCCCTTCACCCCCTCCATCCTTCCCTATTTACAAAGACTTTGTTTCCATTTTTCATTTTCTCATATTAATTCCATTCCCTTCTTTCCTTTTCCCCTACCCCTCCCACTTCCCCTTCC